TTAAGTCAGTAAATTTTTAGTCTTTTTACAAAATGACATTTAAATAAATTAAAATACTGTTATTTAAAGAGAGGCTAGGTAGTTTGAGACCGGAGATGAGGAAGTACAAGTCCCGTTTCAGTTTTAGCACTGAACTGTGCTGCATTTGATTAGATGGTAGTCTTACTCCATTAGATTTAGTTTGTCTCACTCACTTTTCTAAAGAAGCAGAGTTTTCTTTTGACCATTTGTTAATGTTTCAGAAGGTTCATTGAGATCCTTGTCAGTAGAGGATCTAGGAAATTAGCATTATCGTTCTGAGGCACACTGGAAAAACTTTTCCCTGTTATCAAAAAGCAGTTTCCTTAATGAGGTAAAATTATTATACTTCATCACATGGTATCCTTTATGGGTGGCCTATTATGTTTGGCAAAGAAATGTGGCATAGCACATTTGCTTGAGGAAACTTTTCGCTCTCCAGAAAAAACATGTAATCTTGGTACAAAACAGTGGAAAACTGAGCAGAGGTTTTATTGTTTGAACATTCTGGCACCCGCCTTCTTAATTTGGGAGGTTGCTACATCTTCATGTACCTTCTTTATGTGAAAGTTTATGGATCCTCATGACAAAGTGGAAGCTGCTTTTGCAACTTTGTCTTAACTATGAGGTATGGTGAGTAACAAATGGTGCATTCTGTATTCTTTTAACCACTAGTACTTTAAGAAGTCCTTAGAACTCTAGGTAACACAATAATCCAAACAAAGGTATGGAATAAATCTTTGATCAAGATCTAGGCTAGCTTGCTCTTCACTCTTTCATTTGTGCAGGTAGAATGAAGACGTAGAAATATACACAGTCAGCCTAGACTATAGAAGCAGGGCTGGCTTCTTGGACATGTGACCTGTGAGGCCCCATGAGGCAATCACACTCAGAGGAGCCCATCTCCTAGTTTAGTGCTTTGGCATCACCATTTTGAAATTTTGAATAAGGGTATTTTTTGAACAAGGGTCTCCACATGTTCATTGTGCACTGGGTTCCACAGATTCTGCAGCAGTCCTGCCCTTGAGTCATTAGCAGTTTTATTAACTATTAGAGGATTTCAAATATTGACAAAAAGAATGAGATGAAGTGGAATTGTCAGGGTTAAGGAACACCAGGTAAAGAAATAACTAGAAATGTCTGCCTCCTTAATTCCTGTATTTATAAGCCAGGAAAATATTCTTTGGGAAAGAAATAGAGAGTAGATCTAGGGATATGTGAGAATTTTTCTTCTTTTCATCATGAGCAGCTTTGGATGACAAATCTGGCTCTGTTGATCAAATTCCAGTGTCAGGACTTTAAGTGGCTCCTTTCCAAATGGGGGCAGTCCTGGGCAGGTGGTTCTACTTGCAATTCTTGCTATTGTCCAGCTTCTGACAGAACCCACCCCCTTCATGGCTATGTGCTGATGTTGTCTCCTCTGTGAGCAGACCCTGACCATGCTGTTCAAAATTGCAACTCTCTCATTTTCCCTCCTGATTCTCCATTTTACTAATTTTCATTTAAATATGTACGTCTTGACACACAATAGGTGCTCGAAGCCATCAGTTGGATAAAGGCATGGAGAATGAGTTGATAAAACACCTTCCTAATGGTTAAAGCTAAGGCTTAATGGGAATAAAAATGGCGGCTATCTTGTTTCCTCTCTACTCCTCAGTTGGGTCTAGTTCCTTTTGCACTTATCTGAGCTCTCCTTCATACAGGACTATTTTTGAAAGTTTTGATTTCCAGGAATTTTCCAGTTTGGGCATCTTCCTATTAGGAAAGGTATTTGCCTATGTCTCCGTAGAATGGAGCTAAGACACTGTTCCTCCCTTGTTGGGGAGGATGTCAGGAGTGCATGGAATGTTACTCCTCCCAAGGAGACCTCTTTGTGCCCCAGGGAATCTAGGGGTTCTTTTCCCCATTCTTCACTGTGGGCTTTGTTCCCTTCCAGAGAGGAACTCTGGGGGGATAACTGCCAATGAGACATTCAGCTTGTCCTTCATCCTACTCTTCTCAAAGCTGCAGGGGACATTGTGTCATCAGTTTCAGCAGTGTGAAGTAAATTTCAAATTACTAGTATATTTCAATAGCTCTCCCTTTGTATAAAAATCAACTATTTGTTAAAATATGTACTAACTTGAAAATAGCCTTGAGACTTTTAATGTATGAAATATAATATTTAATCAGTTTGAAGCAGCCCTGTTTTTGAATTATATTTGAAAGCTGAAGTCTTTGGCTGAAAGGTACTTTGGGTATTAATTTAGTAAGGTATGAGTTGTATATGAATGAAGTAATGGGGGAAGGACATGAAAGTGAGTAATTAAGTAGAGTGTATATTTGGTGCCTGCAACCCGAAATGCCTTCTTTAAACAATTGTTTCTGAGTACTTTCATCATTTTGCCTTCATTGTCTTTAAATTATTGAGGACTCTGACTAATCTAAAATTCAATTTACTGATGTAAGAAATGAATGGAACCATCACAGTAATTTAGTTTTCAGTTTGAGAGCCTAACTGCTATATCCAGTACTTAATGTGCTTAAAAACATTTTATTTAGAGAAGACTGTCACTTTGTTTTATACAATTACAGGTGTATATATTTATCTTTTCAATTTTTTGCAGTCCTTATAGTGACTTTTTAGACACTTGAAACCGGGTGGAATAAATATAATAGTAAAGATTATTTTATTTCATAGCCAGGAATTGGTGAAACACATTTTAATAAAAATTCAAACATCTTAGAGTGCAAAAGTTTTTCTTCCCCAAAATGAAGTCTGTGAGTTGCTGAATCTTGGTACATTGGGCAATTGCCTTCTGAATGTGTTCCTGAAGCATATGAAAACCATTTCAGTGTAGGCCAACAGCTAAAGTGAGAAGCTTGTCTTTGAGTTTTAGTCTAGGTCAAAGAGTCTGAAGGTTTCAAGTACATCCAAAAGTGAAATAATCCTTCCAAACTCCCTGAATACTATGACTTTTTATTTTCCCAGGGAGAAAGGGAATAGCTGAGCTGGCTTTCTGGGTAAGGCCAGGGTGGGGAAAGCTGGCATTTCCAAGGGTGTTGGGCAGGGAGGAGAGGGGATGTGTTGTTTCCATGGACACCTGTGCTCCATTTTTCCTCTAGGTGGTGACAAATGTGACTGGATTTAGCCTGATGAGGTGTAGACTCCTGGAAATTGGTCCCATAAACTTTTTCCAGTTTTCCCTGTAACCTTTATACAAGTATGTTACTTCTCAGCTAGAATTACTTTGTGATCTTACATTGGAGATTTATTTGACTCTTTCTAATAGGATATGTTTAGGTTAATGGAATAATTCGAAAAAGTAGTTTAATTTTAAAAAAACATCAAAAAAGCCTCTTTCAGGAACTTTTGTACCCTCGTGACTGCTCTTAAGGTGTGATGACCCCTAGTCTCTTTTTTTGCATTTGGAGCCTCAGTGGAAATTCCTGGTGCTCCCGAGTAACTGAACATCGCTGTTTCTCAGGAATATGTGTGGCTTCAATGAGAGTTTCAAGGTACTGAGGGCTTAAACTAGGGTGAACCTCAATTCAAAAAAAGGAAAGGGTGGTCTCGCATATTCACTGAAGACATGATTTCATTTAGTTAGGAGATAGAAGCAATTAGAAGTAGAGCTTATGACCACATAATTCACACAGGCTTGTAAAGTAACCTTTAGACAACAGCTGTAATGTAAAAGGCCTATGCCAAGAACAGCAGAGCACAGTGGAGTTCCTGTCCTTTCAAAGCAGGACAGCTGAAATGGTGACTGGGTTTAACAACAAAACAAAACAAACAGTCCAGGCCAGGGGTTTCCGAAGAAGGGAAGATACAGTAATTAGAAGTTAGACATTTTAAAAAGTATCGCTTATGGAAAAGGGACAACTTCTCAATGGACTCCTGGTTCCTTATCACTGGCAAAGGAAACATTTTCACTTATTGAATCCTTCCTGGAGGTAACTGAGATACTTTGCCCATTTAATAAAATTCCTAAATTAAGATTAGTATTATTAGTTATGCGATTAGAATTTGAACAGCAAAGAAAGAGAGTCTCCTACCTATCTAGATACAGCAAAAGTTTTTGAAAAGTATTCCTTTCTTCCTGACAGATAACTTCAGTAGCAGCAAATGTGAGAAAGTAGGGTGTTAATTTCCAAAGATTTTTTCCTTAAAAGATTATATCAAAAATTGCAGTGAATGATAAACAACTGTATCATAGATTTACAAGTTCCTGCCAAATACAACATTTTATAAAATAAAAAACAAAGTAGCTGTGTCACTTAAGAAAAGTAGTTCATTTCTGCATTGACTCTTTCCCAGAACAAACATAAAAAATCCATTATTTTCCTTATCAGCATTAACGAAATATTTTCCAAATCCACTGCATGCACTGCATTCCTCTATCAGAATCTTATTCAGTTTATAACTGTACTGGAAACCGATCTCTGAGAATTAATCTGATGTGTCCTTTTACCTACTTTTCTCTTGTTTAACGCTTAGCTTAAGAATACCCCGGTACCAAAAAAAAAGAATACCAACCTTCACTTTAATTCTGTTAAGCTTTCTGGGACATACTATGACACTAAAAATAAAAAGTTGTAGGTTATTTTATTTCTTTTACTTCCCTACTCCCTTTAAATAATTTGAACTTTTTGCTGCATCCATTGCCTGAAAGTTTCTAAAACCGGGGATCTGAGTTTTGACCTAATGTCTGTCAAATAGAATTTTCATTTTTAAGGTACAAAGAAGGTAAATGATAGCTAACCAGTCTACCTTCAAAACTTTGATTGCTGTTGAAGATGTAGGCACTGTCTATGAAAATCAGGAGCTTTTGCCCTGAACTCCTACAGAGGGTCACAAGGGTTAAGAGAAGCAGAGACACGTCCACGAAAGCTGACACTTCTGTTTTTCCACTTACAGGGGCTCATGACAGGGGCAGCTAGCAGCCGTGCCGTTCCTCTAAGCAACCACCTTAGTGAGTTATAACTGCGCGCAGACTTACTGTGATGGCTTGGAGTCTTCCCTTCACCAGCTCAGCTTCTTCCATTCTAGAAGTCAAGGGCAGGCAGACGCTGAAGGAAGTCCAAAGCTACCATAAATCAAGGAGCCTCCTTGGGGAGAGTAGCAGGGGTGACAAAAGAGAAGCAGGGAGAAATCCGCTCTTTGCACCAGGGAGAAATTGAGAAATTCCTGACTTGTCAGGAGCGCCTCTCAGCAGATGCACGGATCAGGCCAGACAGACACATGTAATGAGGGTGTGCTGGGGAGGCAGACGCTGAGGCTGCTGGCACGAGTTGACTGACAAGTTTGAACGGCAGCGGCACAAGCCCTTTTCCTTCAGGAGCTGCCAGCTCTTTGTTGTAATGTGCGCAGTTAGCAAGGCACATTTTCTTATTAACTGTTCCTTACCCAGTCCATTATTTTCCAGGAGTGGCACAAGGAAGCCACATGCTTAGTGCTCACTCCGCCTGTGCTCCAGCAATCCGCAACCCCTGCCCCTGCCCGCTGTGGGTCTGTATGGGTCTCTACCAAGTTAGTTTGCCTGCACTCTCCCTCCAGCTCGCAAGCAGAGAGCCTCACCCTGCCTGGGTACATGTACCAAGCCACTTGTTTGCCTTTCTCCTTGTGTTTGGCTTTAATAATAATTGAACCTTCCAGAGTTACTTTTGAACTTCATAGAGTGATGTTTATATCAGGCTGTCCTCCTCTCCCTCAGCTTCCCACTTTCAGTAGTTTGTTGTAAATGTTGGACTCATAGGTCATGGAGGACACAAAGGTGTTAACGTGACAATATTAAAAAGCTGGCCCACCACAAGTGCTCAGTGTGTTGGTGCTCAGCTTGCACTTGCAGTTCTTTCTTGGACCTTGTTCAGAAATGACACTCTTGGCTTTCAGGATGGTGCCCATTTTGACCTTATGAGTTACACAAGAGAAAGGAGTGAGCTTTAGAAAGTGTGATGAAACATTTTGTAGACACCAGCAGCCTGATACTATAAAAATTCTCTTACCCTTTAGAAAAAGGCAGTGAAGCCCAAAGAAACTCAGGTCAAAACAGACACAATGTTTTGCCATAGACTATGTCTGTTTTCTTTCCTTTACTGGTTCTTTAATAAAATTTTGATGTAGTGATCCTAATATCATCTACCTCATTATTATGTGTTTGTATGCCATCAAGCACCTTCCTATTAGCATATGACCAAAGAGGTTAAAAGGACAAACCAGTGCTTGCTTTGGCAGCACCTATACTAAAAGGACAAACCAAACACTGAACATGTGATTGAATTTCCTTTGAATTTTTGACATTAGTAATCGTGATATCTAGTATTTACTGAGCATTTTCTATAAGCAATGTGTTTCATCCTATTTATCTTACAAGATGTGGAGCAATAGGTGCTATCCTTATTTTAAAAGTGCAGCAACAGGTACAGGGAGGTAATTTACCACATAGCTAATAAGTAGTAAAGCCAGGATTGGGGCCTCAGCGGCCTGACTTTATAACAGCAATTATGAAAGCTTGCCCAAGGACACCAGGCAAGGTCAGGCACAGGCTGAAGGTTAAATCAGTCTTCATGAGAAAGAGTTACACTCTACCATCCTCCTCCATCCTTCCAGACACTTAAGGCTGGACCAAAACCTGTTGGGCAGAATCTTGTGGGGTTTTCTTCTAGAGAAATTTAAGCACTCTAATGAAATAAGATTTCCTCATTTTGTCATTTGGAACTCCCCAGACATGAAGTCCACATGCAAAGTCAATTACTTTAAGATGAAATTCATCCAAGAATTTGAATTTGCAAGAATTTGAATCATATTTGAGAGTGGTCTATTTATCCTTGTTACTGCATTCTCAAAAGAGACATTTAGGGAGACTAGCAAATAGGAGAATTGATTAGAACTGAGCTGAGTTTAATTACTAGTGGATGGATATTCAAGCTTAAAAAAAAAATCAAACCTTTAAAACTTTTATTGGCAGATCCTGGCTGAAGTTAAAGATAAGAGAGCAGTTGTGATAAATATCTCAGTCAGAATTGTAATTTTGCTGCCCAGGACAGATGGGCAGTCATTTAATTATTAATCTGAATCTTTTCCTAAAATCAACTTTTCTCTCCAGTCTCATTTTTGCTGTAGGAAAACTCAAGGATTTCCTAGTGTGTGTGTGTGTGTGTGTGTGTGTTTGTGTGTACGTGTGAAGGGACTAGATAAAATAAAAGAATCGGGGATTTAGGAAGGAGCAGAGTTGTGATGTTTGGTATCACGTGTTTATTCATTTGTCTAGTTGGTAGTATTTCAAGGATTTGTTACTCATTCATCTTGTACATATTTATTGAGCACCTGTCAGGCACAGTGCTAAGTATGTGGGCTACATAAATTAACAAAATTCCCATTCTTCTGAAATTTGTATTCTGGTAGGCAATAAAAGACAAATTAGTAAATAAGAAGAATATGGCAGATGAGCAGGATATCATGTTTTCCTGAGTCTTCTAAGAAACAAATGCTGTGGGTAGCATTCTAAATGTTAGGTTAAATGTGAAAAATATATATATATATCTCCTGTACATATAATAAATATGTATTTATTAGGATATATTATTATATAAAATATTATATATATTATTAGGATATATATCCTAATACTATTATATATCCTAATAATATTATATATCCTAATTTTATATGTGTGTGTGTGTGTGTGTGTGTGTGTGTATATGGTGTTATGGAACGAGACAGAAAGGGCTGGAGCTGGGACAATTTGGGAGACTCATGTAAAGGAGAGATGGAGGGAGATTTGCTTGAATCAGCCTAATCTGCAGTACAGTCTAAGGGACATTGGCAAGGGCATCAGAAAGTCTTGGGTCCAAAGTCAGGTGCCAGAGTGGTCCTGTGTCTTCCAGGAATGAGCCTACTTAAGCATTCCTGCCATGCCCAGTCACTGGCTGGGAGAGTCCCCAGGAAACATGGCTGAGAATGTAAACATAGGAAAGGATTTCGGAGTACAACATCTGAGACCTTTGATCACCCATGCTTCTGAGGATGGATGTCTGAGAGGCAAATTCTCATTGTAGCCACAGTGATAATAGTATGAAAAGAAAGAACAAGGGAGGAAAATAAAAATTTAAATTTAGAATTGGACCATTAAAATAGCTTCAGTGAGAAAAAAAGAATGGGAATGAGACCTTAAGGGGTGTGTGTAGAGTTAGCCATTAGGATGTCAAGGAAAATAGTATAACAGGAAAATCCTGTGCAAAGGCCCTAGATGGACCACACCTAGCATGCTGTAGGATCAAGGCTAGTGTGGTTAGAGAAGGGGGGCTGAGGGAAGGGTAACAAGAGATGTGGTTGGAAATGCAACAGGCTCCAATCCATGCAGAATCTTGTGGGCCATTGTAAGGAGTTTGTCTTTTACTCTGTCTGTGTAAGGCAAGAAGCCACTGAGATGTTTTAAATAGGGGATTGTTTGGCAAGAATGGAAGCAGGAAGACTAGGTAGGATGCTGTAGTAGTAAGCCAGGTAAGAAGTGATGATGGCTTGATCTAAATTGGTAGCAATGAGGGCGATGGGAATTGTTTGAAGTGTAGATATATATTTTATATATATATATATTAATTGGTACATTTTAGGTATACAATACATTTACATTTATCATTGGGTGTTTGTACCAGAACATGGTGTATCTTAGTTGTTATTTTTTCTCCCATTACCTGTGCCCCCTTCACCCCCTCCAACCTTCCCTATTTACATAGACTTTGATTCCATTTTTTTTTCTTTCTCATAATTTTTCCTTTCCCTTCTTCCCTTTCCCCTTCCCCTCCTGCCATCCCCAAACCCTTGGACCTTTTCCTATTTCAAATTATCAATTATTCATTTTAATCATTTTCATCCTTATTTTGAAGTGTAGATATATTTTAATCTTCTTGGTAGAGCCAATAGGATTTCCTGAGATTGGATTTAAGATTTGAAAGAAAGAGAAGATTCTGGATAACTCTAAGACTCTTGACCTGAGCAAATAGAAGTTTCCATCAATTGAGACAGGGAAGCTGGTGAAATAGTATTTTTGTTTGAAGTTTTAAGGTGAGGATAGATACCAAGAGCTCAGTTTCCAACAGGTCAGTTATCCATATGGAGATGTTGAATAGACAATTACATATGGAGTTTAGAGTTGAGAATGAAATCTCAGATTGAAAAATTTATTATTATCTCTAGAAGTAAGCTGGATCAAAAAATATCTAGTATATTTTACAGAGTGATATAGTCTAGTGAGCTAGTGTGTATTAAAAGTATGTATTCATTACCAAATTCAGCCTTTTGTAGAACAGAGATACAGTAAAGTTCTATCTGCTTTCAAGTATCTTATTAAGCTAGTTTTACTAAATATTTTGTTGCCTGTCAACCAGTGTAAAAGAGGATGACAAGAGTTAAAAGTTATAATGCATTACCGAAATACATACTAGGAGTTACAGGGTAGAAGAGATTCTTAGATAGTACCCTTTCTTACAATGAATTTGCTATCTGATTGGAGAGGTGAGACACATACTTGAAGTAATTAAAGGACAAAAAAATCCATTACATTCACTGTGGGGAGTTGGTACATGTATGTAACACATTTTAATTCTTTTTACTTCCCCTTTCTCTCCATGAAAATGTATATTAATAAAAAAATCAAAAATCAAAAAGTAAACCAGTTATCATTATACTCTGGTAAGACAAAGTGTTCGCTGTTGCACTGGTTGAGACAGGATAGCACAGCACAGTTGCAGTGGTGGCAACCCATGGGACGCATGCTGCAGTGGGCAGGCAGAGCCCTCTCGGTCAGCATATGAGCCAAGTCATCCCAGACCTTGAAAGTGGGCAGCTAAAATATTTTTCAAATCTAAAAACACAAAAAAATGCAAGTATAAAATTCTACAACATTTGCAGACAGTCTACAAGCCATCAGGAAATCTACAAGGAATTTTCTAGTATTTCAGCAGCTGTAAAGGAGAATTTTAGTAACAGCTTTTTACAGTTTCATAAGATGGAGACTACCCTATGTTTTCTTACTTCTCCAGATAAAGCCAGATTTGAAGAACTTGATCTTTTCTGCTTACACTGGTTAGATTATGAAAATCTGGAAATGGAGTTATTGGAATTTCCAGAAAGCTCTATCTGGAAAAATAAATTCTGTGATGTGCACCCAACACTTGAGAAGATAGAGAAGATGGAGTGTGAAGGGATGACAAAGGACAGCACAGTTGGTAATTCTAAAAATGAAATCCTTGAAGTGTGGAATTCTCTGCCACATAATTTTAAGTCAATGAAAGCACTTGGAATTGCTTTTCTTACTTTGTTTGGATCATCTTATGCTTGTGAGCAGCTGTTTTCATCTTTGAATTTTACCAAATCTGATATAAGAAACAGACTAACTGATGACCTGAGCACTGCATGAGTTGCTGTCAAACTAAGGAAGTATGAGCCAAGATTTGACAAATTATCAGTGTGCACACAAAAGCAAAGATCACATTAATTGTGCAAAAGCACACCAAATGTGAACTTCTACCTTTCCATAAAAAGCTGTTTGGATCATTGAAAGCTCTGTTATT